AAATTATTTCTTACTTACATATTGTATGTTAATCTGTATTACAGTTAATGTTTTCCTCTTAATGCTACATAAATAATTATTCGACAGAATCTGTAGTTAAATTGAGATAATGTTTATTACATAGTTCTGAAGACTATCAATATTAAAAATTCCAAATAAGACAGGAAAAAAGTTTTTTAAATAAAGTTATACACAATTTTTTAAAAATATTTTTAAAATATACGAAATAAACTTAAAAAACTTTTAGAAAACTGAAATTTCTTGCAAATATTTACATCATACCTATTTAACTATAAGCGTTACCCTCTTCTGAAAAATATTTTTCTATTAATATCCACATGAAAGAAAAAAAAATATAAATCCTAACATCATGTTCAAAACTTTTCTGTATAATGTAAGCAATTTTTTTAACTTAACTTACATAGCTTTTGGTGGTGCCACGTACTCAATTTAAAGATTGTAATTTAAAAGATAATTAAAAAAATTGTTTTTAAACTTGCATTGAATTGAAATACAATGAAAACAAGTATGTCTACATATAAATTCAATTACTACTGCTTCGTCTATAACTGTACATTTTTAAAATTTCATTTTGCAGTCTCGCAATTTAATTACCTTAATATGAATCTTACATACATTACTTTAGAAACTTTTCTATCATTCTCAGAAAGGTTTGTATTGCATAACAAATTTTAAACAAACTGATTGCATGATAATAACATATATAAAAGTGAACAGAAGCTATCTTAGCTAAACATATGCATTTAAGTTTCATCATGATAAAATGATATTTAATGATTTGCAAAAAACATTGATATTTAAATTAAGAACACAGTACTCTGTCAAGAATCAAATTTTACTCTGCATTTGATATTCTACATATTATGTAATGAAATAAGTGTTATGCTTTTAACCCCTTAGGACAGTTATTTCATATAAAATTAGTTTCCAATTAAAATAATCATAAATTTTGCTGACAATTTTTATATTACTAGTGTTAGTAATTATTACAAGGGATGATGCGTCAGGTGTCAAAAGTAAACATAAATTCAATTCTTAAAACATAATGAATAAAAAATTACAACTTATAAAAGCCAACAAAAAGTTTGCTGAGGATCCCTTAACCGTGACGTCACAAGCCAGTTTCGTTTCAGAGCGCAGGCCTTATATATCGCGATGGTGACGTAACTGCTGAAGTATAGTAAACTTCCAAAAATGGTTCTGTTTTAACACAGATTAGCTTTCTAAAGAATAATATTCGGAATGGCTTAAATAAAGGGAAAGTAATCGAATAGTCAAAATAATTTCATTTTTTTGGCCAATATATTATACAGTACGAAGGTTGGGAGGTCTCGCCTTTCTCCGCAAAATCTTGAATATTGAAACCGTTACAGTTCGCTGCAAAACAAGCAACGGATCCCTCCCTTTTTTTTTGTCATTTTGGATTGAATAGGACTAAAAGTTCTGCGGTCTACCAACCCAAGCGAAGAATGATTCTATTCCAGAAATTTAACGCAATCTGTTGAAAATTAGAATGAAAAACACCCCAGTTATTTAGTTCTTTATTCTCCCAATACCGGCAGTTGTTGATTCCGATTGCGTAATATCACATAGGGAAGAATTACGGCGCACGTATTGCGCAATAACGTTTGCGATATTTTGCAGAAATAATTAATTTTGATGTTCAGTCCGAGATTTGTTATGAACATTAAAAGAGTTTTACTACTTGCTAAGCAGAATATTTTTTACTTTCGTTGGTTTATTTTTATATGATGCACATATTGAAATGTCAAAAGCATTTATTTAGCGGAAAAATCTAAAGAGCGGCTACAGTCTACCCCCCCCCCCCGCTCCTTCAAGTTACGCTCGACTGTCCGAATATTCGCCAATTTCCAAGTGTGCGGGTTAGTTAACCTTTCACTGTTAAATATGACTGAATGAAGCAAATTTCTGTCTTCTGATTACAGAAATGTTCCTCTTTTTAACTTAAATTACTTTGCTTGCAATATCTGTTAAGAGAAAACTGATATACGATGAAAGTTAGAAAATGTTCAGAATTTAGATTTAAATTATTTAAATATCAATATGAGTGGGAAAGTAAATTGTATTTATTATTAGGTCCAAGCGAATACAATAAATATACCTATTATTATTATTTCTCTATTTTGAACTGAAATTTCCATCATTAAATCTTGTAATATAGTTTAGTTCTTGATAGTTTTTTTTTTCCTCTCATTGTAAACAAGTTCTGTAAATTGAACTATTATTTAAAACTAAAAAAAAAAAAAAAATATTTTTTATGGTTGAGGTAATGCTTGTTGTCTCTTAAAAAGTACTTCATTTCTCATATTTTAAATTACAAGTCTAATTTTTAAGGTTATGCAGTTGTGTATGATGTAATTAGACAGGTGCTTATTTTTTTTCTTAAAATGTGCTTGAAAAGTGCTTATAGGTGCTTATTTTTTTAACTAAAATGTGGCTATGAACCCTGACTCATCTGAGATGATATCTAATTCATTAAGAAGCTCATCCAACTTATATTAGATCCACAAGTCTTATGAGTATGTCCAGTTGCATATTTGAAGTTTAAGTGCATCCTAGATTTGTCCTTGGTTGAATGAAAATTCACCTTGAGCAATAAATGAATATTTTCAACAGGCCTCCAAGAGCTGCTGAATAAGCCACGTGATGCATAATTCCCAAGTGCTTGGGAGGACTCTTCACATTTGTTGATGATGTTCTGGATTTGCATATGCATGTCGAATGTTTTTGGTTGACACTGGCTTGAAGGTGTTTCAGTTTCCCCTCTACAAAGTATATAAATATTTGAACTATATACAAATCCTGAAATTCTGTTAAAAGTATTTTATTTAATTATAGGGGGAAAAAGTCGTTTTTATGTGATATACTTTTTAAAGTACATTTCAGTGAATAGCTGAATGATTTTTTTTCCAACACTCTGCTGCATTGCATTTTACATAAGGTACATTTTTTTTTTTTTTGGTATTTGTTCTAATATATAGTAAATGATGCACTGAATTATATGGTAATGAGTAATGCCTCAAATCATTCTAAAATGATACATTAAATAATTGTTAATTTCTGTAATGTCAAATGATGAATGTTTTGTCTGAGATTTCATTCACAGATGATAAGCTAATAAGCTAATAGCTTATTTCATGCAGTTTTCATAATTTTACCCATATGTAGTGCAGATGAGCCTGTTTCCCTTAGAAAATTTGGTGTCAGGAAGCAAAAAAAGTTCAGAGACTGCTTTGCTGTGCAATTTGTAATTATTGAAAATAATTTCTTTCATTGCACTATCACATTCTGGAAACTTAGTGTGTGTAAGTAATTAGTATGCCCAATTTAGCAATCAGTCCACTACATTTCTTTTGATCTTAAGTTTTAAAAAAATGAATTACAACATACTATGCCCAAGTTCTAATTATTCAAGATACCGAATTACATCTATTGAAAGCTAAATAGTTAAAAAACATATATGTTTATATATATATACAAAGGAAAATAGAACCAGTTTTTCACAAAGACCAAAAACTGGAATTCAAATAAACAAATTTCAAAAAATCTTATAAATGTAGAGGTAAATGAATTTATATATAGATGATCTATGCATTACCCCTCAAATTAAAAGAGGCAGAGAAAGGATAGAAAGGAAAATGCCATAATAGAAGCAATATTACTTTTCGATTAATGTTTTAACTTATTTAAAATTTTTCTCACCATATTTTCTAATTCTTTTATAGACAAAAACAATTTTACAATTTTTATAATCACAATTATAGAGATTATAAAAAAGTTTGTAGTTCTTTGTCATAGGTATGGGTAGTTGATGACAGATGGTTAGCAGATTTTCCAGTGAGAATCTTTTACAAACTTTAGTTTTTATTTTTGTTCAGTATTCTGCATATCATTAGAATATTCTTGTTTGTGAAAACTTGCTTCTGTTTGGAGTGCTTTATTTAAAATATTTTTGCTCTGTATTTTAATTTTATTCGAGAATGAGTAACCCAAAGCAGTAATCTAAATTAAGAATGATTATTTTAACAGTTGCAGATGTGGTTTTACTTAACGGTTTTTTTTTTTTTTTCCTTTTACATAAGAGCTTGTTACAGCATTTTATTGTATATAAGCTTTGTAGTTTTGAGAATTTTCCTTTTTTTTCATTCACTTTATTATTTTATAAGGCTCTAAAAGTACAAATTGGAAAAAAAATTCCAGATCAAAAGGAGGTTTGACATGTGTTTTAAAATATCTGTATCATTTATACAGGGTGAATCTGAAAAAGTGGGCAAAACTGTAGGGGGTAACAGAAGGCAGCTATACGAGCAATATTCATCATAGAATGTATGGTCGGAACGCAAACAGTGAGCTGCTAGGTGGCATTGTAAATAAATGGCGTAAAAAGGGTCAGTCCTCGCACACAATGGCATTTTTTACCATGGATTGCTGGTTATACAATCCATGAAATTTCCAGGGTGATGGCTTGGTCGAAATGGTCCCATAGCTTGGCCACCAAGATCATTGGATCACTCGTGATTGGACTTTTTCTTGTACGGCTACATGAAGAGCCTAATCTATGAGTGCCCCATTGAAACCAATATGGATCCAGTCTTCGGGATCACAGTTGTTGCCGGCGATATTTGGGAAATGCCTGATGTCTTCGCATCAGTCCCTATCCCACAGGTATGAAGCCTGCATTAGAGCTGGTGGAAGGTCTTTTGAGCAATTTCTATGAGTATATTTTGTTAATAAAATGTTTTCTGAAATATCTTCTCTCATTCTTGTGTTAATTCTTTAAATGTAACGATAAAAAACTACACTTTAACTTCTCACCACTTGCGTTCCGATCATACATTCTATGATGAATATTACTCATATAGCTGCTTTCTATCACCCCCTAAATTTTTCCCATTTGTTCAGATTCATTCTGTATAACTTCATTTCATGTATTTTTTCATAACGATTATTTCTTTCAGACGCAGTAAACGGCCCCAATCAATGCCTGCTTTAGAAACAGAATCATTACTTGACTATAGAGATAGCCCTAGTTCTGGGAATAGCAGCAGGTAAATGAAATTAAAACCTAGAAGTATTAATTTTTTTCCTAAAAAATGCATTTTGTTACAACGTTTAAAAAGAAACTAGTAGTTCCTGATATGAAATTTCTGAATGATATACATAAAATTTTAATAAAACCTGACTAGCAAGGAGAAATCATGATCATGGAGAACTTTAAAATGAATATATTTGCAGATGCCTAGAGCAAGGCTGTCAGAAATAAGTAAGAAAGTCTAAAATCCTAAGTAGCATTTATTTCTCTTTGCCATAGGGCTTGATAACTTGGTTAGTAAATGGCTGGCTGTGGTGTTTTTATTGCTATTATTAATTCTGTTTTTTTTATAATATTTTGAAAGAAATTAATTCAAAACATTTTTAAGAGAATACAGAGTAACACAGTGTTCTTTTCCCTCCGATTTCTGTAGTTCTCAATTAAATTTGCCTCCACTCCTTTTCTACTATTCTGGATTTCTTGGAAGTAGTATGTTTTACTGCATGGTATAGAAATTGCATTTCCTTTTTTCTGAGGTTAGCTTTTGCATTTTAGACTAACTTGAGGCATGAATTTATATATATCAACAAAAGCTGTTTTTCAATATAGTGGATAGATACCATTGATGGAAATTCAATTTCAAATAAAGTATTTTGTGCAGTAACTGTATAATCTATTTCATTCAGTTATTTAAACAAAAATGTGCATTTTACTTTTCTGTATTTTTGGTTTCTATGGTTTCAGTTAAGTGCGTGTTGCATATTATTATATATGCTCTACTCGCATATATGAAATTAGGATCTTGTTTTTCTTGCAAGAAATTGGGAAGGAGGGGGAAGAAAAGAAAATTTCTAAAGAATTCTTACTGATTTTACTACAAATCTTAACTAAATAACAGATGTATTACAAAAATGAATGTAATTAAATCATTTATTGGCTCAATTATCAAGTACAGAAGATGTTTTCTTTCAAATATAGAAACACTCATTTCTTCTGATACTTCTCATTTTATATTTTAAAACGTGGAATTGAAAATATATATATAAGTTTATGTATTTTGAATATTCTGGAAAATTTTGAAAGCCCAAGACGTGCTCCATTTGCATTTGCAGAAATCGAACCCTGGGCTAACGTATCAGAGTCCCTACTTTGATGTGTGCCTAAAAGAGAACATTAAGTGTATATTTTGCATTACATTATTTAATTATACATATTGTTAAGTAAAATGCAGTATAAAGTATTTTAATACTGATATCTTATGTTGAATAATTTATTAATTAAACTTGACTGTGCTTTTGTATGCCACATGAAAATCATGCTTCATATAGCATTCACTATTATTTGCTTAAGTCTTGGAACATATTCATGGGTTAAGGAAGCAGTATTAGGCTTTTTGTAGAGTATAAAACAAATATTCATAGAAGAACTGAGATTTATTTTTGAGTGCTATTTAAAATAAATGATAAATGGGACATTTGTTTTTTTAAGAAGTATTTAAAATTTCTGTTTGTTGGTAAGCAATGTAAATGACAAATGACTTATTCTTTTACCAGAGCTTCAAAGAGAAAAAAGAAACATTCTGCCACTTCCTCAGAATCCAGCAAGACAGAACTGCATGGTGATACTCTCTTGAAAACTATGCCATTTTCTGAAAATGAAGGCTCTGCTTTTCATACTCATCCATCAACATCTACTACTACTGAATATGTAACTCCTCCTACCTCACCCAAACAGGTTCCAAAACCTATTAGTCAAGAAAATACACTTCATACTTTGTTATTACAGGAAATAGAAACTGGCTTTAAATTGAAAAAAGTGTCCCAGCAGAGTGATCCTGAGGTTTAGTGTTTGTTTTAAAATTTTTTTGAAACTAGAACAATTTGAATTTTATTAATTTTAATTGAAGATTCATTTTGAAATGTTTGTTAAAAATTTCTAATGAAAATCAGTCCTGCACATATTCATTCAGTTCTCCCCCCTCCTTACCAAGACAGGATTGATTTTTTTTTTTCATATGCACATTATTAAAAAAAATCTTTTAAGATCAGTTTGGTATTTTGATTTTTCCTTTGCACATTATCAGAAAACATCAATATGAAATGCATTTGTAATTGAAAATGATCATATAATCATCCATTTTTATTAACTATATGAATAATTATGAGAGAGTAATATTAAGTGCAGGTCAGAGAAGATTTGGTGAGAGTATTAGATTGCCGTCTTCAGTCCAGCTTTTTAAATAATTGTTAAGTGGTATTAGATTAAATCATATTGGAATATCCTGCTTATATCTAACTGGAAAATCAAATCATTGAAATATAACTGAAAAATATAGAATTTAAGACTTTTTAATGAAATTATTTGAATGATGCAAATATGGAAAGTTAAATATTTTACATTATTGTACTACATTGTGCCCAAAGAGGAGTTTTTAACGTTTTGTGTGTGACCTTTATTTATTGACTACCATCTCCTTCCAACTTAGAACATAAAATTCAATTCAACAGCAGTATTGAAAAATAATTTTAAAATGAGCATATGTTTAGAATTTCCGATACTTGCACGCTGGAGATAAAAATGTTTTGAAATCTTTGAGTTTGTTAATAAAAAGTTCGTTAAATTGTTACAAAATATGAAATTGATAATATAACAAATTCCAAATTGGGGCTTCCAGATGGCATCAGTGGAAGATTACATTATTCAAAATTTGATGCCTCTAAATACCATTGTTTTATCACAATGTGAGAAACACACATTTATGCAGATTCTTCATTATTTAATTTCTTTAAATATAACACAGGGCAATAATATTTGGTGGCAACAATTTGAAAAGTGAACCAACATTTATAGTGAATCAACGCAAAATGCCAAAATGAAATTAATAGTCTTGGGCTAACGCCCTTTGGGCTTAAAAAAAATAGAACAGTTCTGTATGTCTCATTCATTATAGTGCTGATTGATGAAGTTTAAATGGCATTTTTTAGGTCTCAAAAGCACAACTTAGAATAAATATCAGATTTGTAAAATTTGGTGAGAAACTTACCGAGAAATTCAAAAATTTATTGCGCCGCACTTTTTTCAAGCGCCAAGTCTAATTCACTTGGCAAAATTCTTAATTTATGGTAACCTATTTTCTTTTCCCTTTCATTGTGCATAATAGTAAAAAAAGGTGTATCATTCATTATTTCAAATAATTTTAACAAAGTGTATAAACCACATCTGGTGTCATTATCGCTTAAAACAAATATGTTGAATTTCATAATGCACCAATATATAAATTCATGTGTATCTTGGGGAATACTTTACTTTATTTACTTTACTTTGTTTCAGGTTTCCCGAGAAATACATCTTGTTTAAGGTGATGGTAACACTTTTATAGATTATAATTCAAAAAATTTATAAAAGTCATTACAAAATACAAAATCAGAAATAGCTGCAAATTTTATTTGGATTGAACCTAAATTTCAAATTGTGAAAAAAAGAGATTAATAATAATAAATATACTATACCAAATTCAATTAACATTGAGGAGCTAAATTTTTTAAAAACTACTTGAGCGATTTGTACAAAACTTGGCACTGTGGCATAATTTAAATCATAGAATCAAAATATGGAAAAAAATCAGTATGTTATTTCAGCTGAAGTTCGATTTCATGTCAGAATGCCTATGTTAGACAAATGCTACATATAAATCTAATATATATCATAAATCCCACTTCTGAGTTATGAAAAACTGAAGTTAAGTTTCATCAATCGGCCCAGTAGAAGAGGAGACAAAAAACTATCCATTTTTTTTGGGGGGGGGAGGGGGTGAGGTGTACATGAACTATCATGTATGGTGATATTTAAATTTTGTGAGATGTATGTATTAAGTCTCTACTAAAAATATAAAGTTTCCATTTTTATCTTTGTGTGATGTACAAACATTTTTCGAGATATATTTCAAAATTTAATATTTCATGTTTTTATATGTAAATATGTGTTCCATATGCAGGTTAACATGGAAAAGATACATGTTAAAATAATACTGTAGAATTCTGATAATCTACACAAATGGGATGAAGGATTGTAGGTCATATCTTTAAAAGTTTTATTTATGTTTACTCCTTTCTAATTTTTACACTATATGTATTTGGATTTTTTTGCATACTAATAATGTAGTTGACTGAAACATATTCATGCATGAAAAATTATTTAAGTAAGAGAGAAAAAGATAAATGATAGGGACATTTTGGAGTTGTTTTTCAAAAATGCAATGATATATATAAATTATATATGCCAGTAAATTACTTTCAAATTATTTTTTGCAGTCTTAAACAAAAGCAAATGTAAATAAAAGCACTTGTTCACAAAAATCAGAGCAGTACAGTTTTCCCTAAAATGTCTTTCTATACTAATAATTGGCACACTATTTTATTTAATGCTTTAGGATTAATAGTTCTATGAACAGTTAACAAAAAGTGGTGGAATTGAAATTTTCAGATAGGCTAGAGAAAAATTTAGTTACAATACCCTTTCTTCTTTATATTTTCCTTTCAGGAAATATGTTAATATCTCCTATTTTTAACAATTCATCCCTATTTCCCATCAATATAATGAGCTTATTCAGTAAACAAACTAGCAACAATGCATTTGGGTATTCACCTCCCATAGCAACCTTGGTGCATTCAGGCTTAAGAAACTGCAATTTGTTGCCAAATGTTAAATAATCACAAGCATAAAACTGACTATAATACCGTCAAATAATAAATCAGCAGTTCATTCAATATCAACACACGTTATTTAATATACATATATAAGGAATTTAAAATAAGTACTATTTATTATGGTCTGCAATTAATTTAGTATAAACAACAAAATTTAACAGATAATTATATACATTAAATTAGGGATGCATAACCTTTTTAGCAGAAGGGCCACTAACAGAAACGACTTGTTGCCAAGAGGCAATAGTGTATGCAAAAATACTTTCCGGTTGTGGGGATTAATGCAATAAGTCGCTTAATTTGCAATTCAGACATGTACCATATCAAATTTAAAGTGATTTGGAAACTGTTATGTATATATGTAAGCAAAGAGGGATGGGGCTTTCCCTTGCATGTGCTACTGACCCAGTTCAGCTTGAAAACAAAGTACAGTTTATGTTTGTTCATGATAATTTAATATTTGTATACAAATATTTTAATAAAAATGTGTACAAGTTATGTTGAGACTGAATTTTATCAACAATTTTTGACATATATGGTTGAAAGTTATTTGTTGATATTCTTAAGATAGATTGCAAGTGTTGATCTGCCACTTTACTTCTTAATTTTGACTTATTTAGATTCATAAGAGAAAATGTTTGTTTACATTCAAGTACTACCAAAAATGGTAGCACATCTGCTTGTAATATTTTTTAAGCGCAAAAATTCGGCAGGTAGAGTTCTATAAAAGTCCAGAATATTTAAATCACGGAATCTGGATTTGCATAAGTCAGAAGTTTGTAAATCGCTAAGTTCTTCTGGGCCTTCTTCAACTACAACAGAAAATGGTTCCCCAAACAGTTTAAATTTAACCTTATGCAACTCAAAATCTGAAAATCGCTTTTTAAAAGAAATAAGCAGCCTTTTTATTTGATTTGAATAATCCAGTTGTTTATTAGGAACATTTTCTTTGAGTTTCTTCAGGGAAGGAAAATTGACAAAATTTTGACAGCCAAACTGCTTTGAGAACAGCTGGAGTTTTAGCTTGCAAGCAGCTACTTCATTGGCTAGGTGATTGATGAATTAGTTTTTTTGCCATCAATTTTTTGTTTAGGTCATTCAGATAGGTTCTCACATCAACTAAAAATGCTAAGTCACATTTGGCCCGTGGGCCACAGGTTGTGCATCCCTACATGAAATCATATTTAATACAATTATGTAATCAATTTTTTTAAAATAATGTAAATAAACATCATGGAAAATTCTGTTTTATATTTTATATAATTTTGTTATTAATATAATTTTGTTAGAAATTCATTGAAACAACATAAGCGTACTGGAAAATGAGTTTTTTATAGTCTTTCTAATAACCATAGTTTAGAAATTGCTGCTAATGGCGCATCACTGCAATTTTCTTTTCTACTGATGGAATATTGAAAATAGTACACAGAATAAGTATTTTACAATGAAAAATCACTATATTGACACAGTTCAATAATAAAAAACCACTTAGATTGTTAACCGTTTCTTGCACAAGCAAAATTCAGTAAGCATTTGTTTTTCAACCAGGGAAGAAACGTGCCATATCCACTTCTCACCAATGCTGCTACAGAAGGCATCACCTGCATTTGTTTGAATTCAACACTAAACATTTTCTTGCTGATTTCCTTGCTTATTAATCATATAAATTCAAAATGAATTAGAAAAGAGTAGAGTATACATTCTAAAGGATTTACTATGAAAAATCTGCAATCTTTCTTTTTTCTTTTCTTTTTGGTAAAGCAAGTGCCTATGCAGAAATGCTGAGTAATTCATCCTACATTCCTGTATCAGCACATAATGCCCTCCTCAAAGCCATGTAGATAGAGCATTGGATGTTCTACACTTCAAAAATACTTTAACACGTTGAGCGTCACACGTATTTCTTAGGCAATCCTGTTCAGGCCACGAGCGTCGCTTAAAAGCGTGGGTATTGTAGTGCCAGTTGTTTGTATCACAGTAAAAGATAGTTACAAGTTGTGAAAAAGAAGACATTCCATCGAACAGAAATGCAAGAATATCTAAAATATGATAACATTAACTCCAAAGAAAACCGGGAAAAACCTCTGAAGTACGGAAATATTGTAAATTATTTTATGATAAAAATGCAACAGAAGCTGGTAGAGTAATGGCCAGAAAAAAAGACTAAGAGAGTTGTCACATTTTGTAATAGCTGTAATGAAGAACTGTTTTTATGTTTACCGTGTTTCAATGAAATCCATTAGTCCTGTAATGAATCAAAATTAAGTAAATATAAAATAAATTTTCTGTAATTCCATAAAACAGCGTAAATTTTATAGTTATATATCATGTTACACGCTGT